TAGGTGTCCCTTCTTTCCACACCTAGTGCACTTATCCTGTTCAAGTCTGGGGGCAACCCCACCTCGTCAGACATTCCGCTGCTCTGTGGTCCTCATGCCCACAAGTCCAGCAGACCAGTCCATATCTACCTGGCGTGGGCTTAGAGAACCCATGCCTTGTTGACCACGCTTTTCTTTGGGGTCCTCTTCCCACACCTCAGGTTCATCTACCTCCAGCTTGACCCTCCAATTCCACGCAGGGGGTCTTTTTTTTCCCCCTTTCTTCCGACCTCTCTTGACTCAGTACCTGTTTCCTCCCACACCTTTTCACCTTTTCCCATATACCCTGGCTCTCTTTGGCCAGCTCTACTGCTGCTGATAGTCTCAGCAGTCTCTCCTTCAGCACATCGTGACAAACACACTAAACTGAGTGCCTCAACATACAGGTCCACTAACTGGGCCTGCCTGACCGCATTATTTCTCACCACCTCTGGGAAGGCCAGTGATGACAGCTTTTCTCGCTTCGGGCCCCCAATTCTCCAGGGGTTTTGTCCCAGCAGCTGCGCCAACTTCAGGAGGGCTCTCATGGCCTCTATCGCCGTCCCCTCGTCAGCGAACTCCTTAGTTAATAGTCCTTTAACCTTTCCCATGTCAAGTGGGGTTCACTCTCCAAGAGCCCTTCATAAACTCAGACGCTTTCCCTCTCGTGGCATCATATGCCAAATACAGGGTCTCCTGGTCTGTGAGTTCATATATAACTCGGCTCTTATCCAGGATTGCCAGCCAGTTTTTGAAATCTCTCCACTGACGTCAAATGCCGGGACCCTCGGTCCACCCAACAATCCTCTCAGGTCAGCTGGCAATCCCTGTCTAACCCCATCTTCCCCCGACTATTCTATCTGATTCATAGTCCCACATATTTAAAGAGAAAGACAATCTAAGCAGCAACAATCGAAAATTGGGAAATCAAACAAAGTGTCCTACCTGACAGACGATTTTCCTCTCAGGTTCCGGGACGTTGCACTAGAGTATCTGGAACTGTATGGCCACAGCCAACCAAAGTCCTTTGGTTCCTACTCTAGTTTGTTTCGCTTTGAGTCCTATTCGAAATTTCTCAGCAACTCCTGCGGCAGCGGTCGATCCAGGGTCCTGTCCTGCTGTCACGGTACTAATTGTGACAGTGGCTGTTCCAGGGTCCTATCCTATGGTCACGGCACCAACTGTGACGTCCCTCAACACAGCCTTTGCTCGCTACTCGCTGCTTTGTTCGGGTGTCGCTGCTCCAAGTGTGACGTCCGCCTGTTGCGTCAGTCATGTTGTCCCGTCCTGTGACGACCAACTGGCTTGGTATCGGTCGCGGCACCCAAATGTGACGTTCTAACCTTTTGGTGATTCGGATGGGAATCTGGTTAGATTCGATATCAGCCTCGTCGTTCACAACTCGCTTCCAACGTCTGGTTACCAAAGTAACTGCGTTGATCTCCAGTCCGCCTACCCACGTTGTGAATTGATCTTAGGCAGACGAAATCAATCAGTCGTTGGGGCCGTAATGCAAAGTGAGTTCAAACGAGGGTAATATCACACAAATATGCATAAAAGAAAATAAAATGATAACTCAAAAGTTCAAGGTATCAAAAAAAGGATAACAATACTTTATATCTGGTTGCTGGATACATAGGACTGCGTCTATATCCCGACCCGCTATATGGATTGTGACATGTTGTTTTTTGTTAGGCGAGTTTTAACATCTTAAGTTGTCTGTTCTTTAAGAAATTGGTTCTTGGTGTGTCTTCAGGCGAAAGTCGAAAAACTTATTTTGGGTGGTATGGATCTAAGTCGCTCTTCAAAATAAATTGTTCTTGGATTGAAGATGAGTTCAGAAGTTGCACGAATCTTAGTCAGCTGAGGCGAGGCCTGCTTCAACTGAGCACTCTGGACTGAACTCTTCTGAACTTAACTCTGCACTCTTCTCTGCTGAATTCATTTTTGCTCACTGCGACTTTGCTTATATGGACGCCTACCAAAACCGGGGTGGGTTTGTCGGGGTTGGAGGTTCCTCGATAATTCTAAATTCATATCCACTTCTTTTATTTTTGGTTAGGAATTTTCCACTCCTTTCCATTTTTGGAAGTCTTTTATTACTCCCACCTTCTCTTATTCTCAAATGGATATCTCACCATATTTCAGAGGGGCGTCAATGGTTCCCCCCACTTCTACGTAGCAACTTCTCATACCTATCCTCTAAATGGGCGGCTTCCCTCTTTGCGTCACGTGATCACCTCCGCCCGGCCCTTGTTAACATTCGGCCGATGGCGTCCAGCCGGGTGTGTGTGATCCAGCTGGCTTTGTTTTAGGAAGAAAAAGAAATATATCTTGCTCAAAAAAAAAATTATCTTTTTCTTTTCCTTTTCTTTCCTTAATCGCAGCTCTCATCCCCCAATGTCACCTGGGATCTATCAATGCCAATTATCAATTGAGGTAGTCGTCTAGCGAAAACACAGTCGACCGTCGTCTCGAAAAAAAAGTTCCATTGTTCTAGTCGTATTTGCATTCTTGGTGCCAATTTCTGATAGCATAGTTTTGTTATCACAACCGAATTCTAACGCCCATAGATGTCTTGTCAAAACGGCCAAAACGTGACCCAGGGTTGGCTTTGTGTGCGGTTAGCAGACGACCTATTAAATCCTTTCCCGACAATATTGTTTGCCCCCTCTCACACAGTTAATTTTTCTTATCTATCCAAAACTCTATGTTCACCTGTTCTTTGTCAGATAGTGGTGGTCAGAATTTTCACTATTTTTTTCCATTATCAAAATAACATTGTCAATTGTCTCCGAGTTTTTTATCTAGCCGGTCTGTGGTTTGTTAATTAGATGTTCGCCAGCATTAAGTGGCTGTTATCTATCCCCGATAACACAAGTTCGCCACCAGAACATAGTCGATTTTCTTATCCATTTAGAATTTTTCTGCAATGGTAATGAAACCTTTCACCATTTGCGACTTATCAAAATAACATTGTCAATGTCCCCGGTTGTGGGTGGCTTCTTTTATCATCTAAGCTTAAGTCTCACCTCTCTTTTCCTTTCTTTCCTTTCTCTTTTTCCTTTCTTTTCTTTTTGTCCTGGTAAATGGTGTCACATTTGATGAATTGACTATAACTGATTTTTAATTTTAGCAAAGTCAATAAAAAGTAATGGGAGATAATTCTCCCTTTACCAAAATATTGAAGAAACACACTCACTTCTACTGCCAATACAATTGGAGAGTAAAATCTTTTTGATTGCCTTAATTTTGAATGAAAAAAATAATGTTTTGTAAGTTTTATTAAATCATAAAAACAATTTTAGTATATTTTTTATTTCAATAAAAAAGTAAAAGAAGATAATTTTAATTGTTGACCTTAAAATGTTGATCAGTAATTCTTTGAGAAAAAAAATTTAGTTGTCTTTATTTCACTAAAAATTAGCACATTTTTTATCTTTTCATGTGCATTATTTAGCATATGCATTATTGTTTAGTTTTGTAAATCTTATTTAGCAATAAAAGTAATTTTAATTTTTATTGCAATAGCACATTTAAAAAAAATTTATTGCAATAGCACATTTAAAAAAACTACCATTTTAGAAAAATGAAATACTAGAAGACTTTTCAAGTTTTAACTGAATTTTAAACATGAATGATTTATAAATTTTAATTAGTGCCAAAAAAAGTAATTTTTAATTGTCCTTATTGTAGTAAAATCTAGCACATTTTTTTTTTAAATTCTACCCTTTTTAGAAAAAAAAATCACCAGGAAATCTTTTCATGTCTTGATTTTGAATTTTCAATGCATTAAAAACAAGGGATAGCAAGAGTAACTGAAAGAAAAGTGTGGAAGCATGTAGTTCAAGCACAGACTATACCAGTGATACAAAGCCACCATTGGGCAAATTACAATAGTTTGTACCACTGCTGAGCAAAGAAATGACCAATCAGGTTCACTGTGCTATGTTGTTTGACTGTCATGCTAAAGCACTTGAGAGCCTACCAGCATATCTGAGGTCACTACTTCAAAATGATACAGATAAAAGTAAACAATTTAGCAAATTAATTTGTAAATACAATATGGCCTTTCAGATAACATCTCTTGGTGCTCACTGTTGATCAAAGTGGTTTTTGAATGATAATTGTAAATGTGGCTTTATTTGGGTGAAAAAACTTGCTTAATCATCCCAAAATCAAATCAAATATATATCTTTTATTTCGTTTACAAGATCACAGAGGGTTGTGATTTTATTTTATGTTATCCAGCTATTTAATTTCAATCTCTTCATGGTTGACCTCCACTCTATCTTGTCATCAGTCAAGACAGAGCATGCCTGATCTCTTGTATGATCTTTGTGTTATTTGTATATATAAGTATGCCTGATCTTTGATATTTGTCTTCCAGGCAGCACCTTCCTATTGCATTAAAAGTATATGCTCAGTGGATATATCCTGACTGCAGCAAAAGCATGTGGGACTGAGTAATTTCTAAACACACATACATTACTTTGACCTTGTGTCATATTAGCTCTCTTAGATAGATAAATAAACACTATCTCTATAGTTATTTACTTCCTCTTTTGTATTCAGAGCTTCATACATTTTCTAAAGTTGTGGTTAGTTTGTTTTAAGAGTAATAATTTCTACTTCATCTATTTGATCATAGTAATCGACAAATCTAATATTTGGATGAAATAAACTTACTCTGTTATTATGCCTGATAAATCTAATTCACTAAAAAATAATATTTCTTACAGTTTTAGATTTTTGGTTCAGATGCATGAAAATAGATTATATAATGACTATTTAAAATGTTCCATTTTTACCTTGTTTGAATAAAGATTTCCTTCTCCTTGTGTCATAGCAGTATTGCAGTGAATGGATTAAAATAATTTGGTTAAATGGATCAAAGATGAAATCACTTTGTTTATGGTATTATAAATGTAAATCAATGAACAATTATTGAAATGGTTTCCTGTCTTATTTATTTATTGCAGGAAATTTGTGTGTTGTTCCAATCTTAAAAACAATTGGCCTAAGTCTTGGTCTCTGTCTGTGGGCCACAGCCAACTTGCTAGCAGGTTGGTTCAGTGCAAGGTAAGTGATACTTTATTTTAATGCCTGATCATGAAGTTAATTATTAGATAATTGATATGTCCCGGAAAGAGATGTATTTGTTTGAAGTAGCAAAGTGGTTGTTGACTGCTGTAACTGGGGAGGACAATCTAGCAGATAACCGTAATGGACTGGTCCTCATCGTAGTGGTAGGCAATAGGCGAAGACAATTGGCGTTGACAATAGGCGTTGACTCTGTAACTCCACATCAGTCTGTATTTATGGCTGACACCAGCCAATCATATTACCTTGAGGGGGGAACCCAGGTGTATGCATATTCATTACATCACCTCCACATGAGCTAAATTTTCCCGTGAAATTTAGCTTCAATATTTTCTCTTTTGAGGGTCTGGACTTAATTGATTGATTTTTTTTCCTAAGTCTTTTTTGCCTCAATCCACCTTGCAGTGGTGGTGTGTGTGACACACTGGTACCTCTGGCCTTGAGGTCAGGGATACCTCCATTGGCGAATGTTGACTTACTGGAACAGGAATTTCAAATGCATCATACAGGACTTCCATTGGATTCTCTTTGGTATTTTCCGTGACCTCTGTAGTGTGTCTGGGTTTCAATTGATTCCGATGTCTTTTGCACCAAAATTTTTCCCCTTTTATGTGATATATGTCCTGTCCAATTCTTTATGGTTATCATTCCTTCTTCCCAATACATTTTTCCAGCCTTAAAGTTCTGGCTTATACGCTTTAGTCATCTGGTTTTCTTTTTTAGCAGTTTTCTTCGCCGGACTAGGCAACGGCCTGTCGAACACAGAGCATATTTTTCTCACAAACATTAACTCTGCTGACGATAACCCTGACGTTGTATTCGGGTTTGGCGTGATTCTATATACTGTCAAAAATTTCTGAATACTTCTTTCATTCATGTCCATGCCTTGGTTTTTCTTCAATGCTTGTTTAAAGGTGTCCACAAATTTTTCCGCCTGTCCATTCGATCTTGGATGATATACTGGCATTGTCACGTGATCAATGGACAATGATCTACAGAATTCCTTGAATTCTCTTCCTGTGTTCCGTTGTCACTGACTAAAGTTTTAGAGAGTCCAAAGCAACTAAAAATTTCATCAAGTGTGTTTATTGTATTTTTTGCATTTGGATGTCTGCATTTTTATAATTTCTGGGCACTTAGTGAAACTGTCCACAATGATCAGGTAATAAGATCCATTTATAGGCTCTGCATAGTCAATATGCAATTGAGTCCATGGGACATCGGTCTTTGACCATGGGTGAATCTTTACCGGTGGATCCCTTGCTGCCAGTTGACATCATCTGCACGTTTCAACAAATTTTCTATGTCTTGATCCATCCTTGGCCAATAAGTATAGCCTCTCATTAGAGATTTCATTCTCAAAATACCTGTATGGCCAGTGTGAAATTCTTTCAGAATATTCTTTTGCAGAGTAACTGGCATTACAACTCTATTTGCATATAGTAATACCTGTTCACAGATTGAAAAAGGTGACACACTAATTCCTTTTTTAGTTGTCTTGTTCAACCAGACTTGCTTTCTCATTTTTTTAATGAAATCATCATTCACTGCTGCATTTTTTACGTCTTTTAGCGTAACCGCTAGTTCTCTAGCGTTGTTGCATAACAGACCCAACAATTCACTTTTGTCTCTTAGCACCGCTATTACTGTTTTTTCCAATGGTTCCGTATATTTAGGTATCAATCTTGATAACCCATTGGCATGACCTAGCTTCTTTGAAGGCACATATTCTATTTTGAAATTATAATTCAATAGAATTACACCCAAACGCTGTAGTCGATATGCTGTGTGAGTTGGTATACCTTTTTTTGAACCAAATATTGTTAACAGCAGTTTGTGGTTTGTTTGCAGAATAAATTCTCTTCTGCATAGAAACCTGTGAAATTTTTTACAGCATAGATTATTTCTAAACTCTCTTTTTCGATTTGACTGTAACTCCGTTCTGCGGGCAGTAACGTTCTCGAGGCATGTGCTATTGGCTTCATAGATCCGGCCTCAAATTTATGAAGCAATATCACACATAGTCCCTCATTACTGGCATCTGCTGCTACAATGATTTTCCTCCTTGGTTCGAAATGCGCTAACGATAGGTCTGCTAATAGACAGCTTTTTATTTTTTAATAAGCCTGTTCGCATTCTTTTGACCATATCCACTTTGCGCCCTTTTTCACCAAATTATTTAAAGGAGCTCTCATATCATACATTTTTGGGATATAAATGCTATAGTAACTTACTAATTCCAAGAAGGCCTGGAGTTTAGCCACATTATCAGGTGCTGGCATATTTTTTATAGCTTCAGCCCTTTCTGGATCCGGTTTTCTTCCTTTACTGTCAATGATCTGCCCTAAATATTTTATCTTCTTTAAGAAGCACTCGCATTTTTCAGCACTCAGCTTAAACCTGTATTCCTCAATTCTCTGAAATACCACTCTAATATGCGTTTTGTGTTGGGCCTCATTTTCACTTTTAATCAAAATATCATCTAAATATGTGATTGCATACTCCATATCAGCCAACATTGTGTCCATTATTTGCTGGGATAGGCAATTGTTTAAAATCCCTTTATGTGTGTTTATTGCAGGTATCATTCAATCCAAAAGGAAGACAATTTAGTAGTGTGGTCTTTCACAAATAATTAAAACTGTCAGTGTCTTTTTTCAATGTATAAGTTGAGACACCCAGTATGATGTTGATTTGGGGTTAATAAAGACAAACGCCAAATAACACATAACAATAAAAAGGGTTTTATTAGGTTGGTAAGTAGGTACAGAAATCGCCTGAGTAGTCTATAACTAGCTCAGCCAAGAACTTCTCCGACTCTGTCTGTCTTTTGACATGCCACTATTTAACGTCTTTGTTTGTAGACAAGTTCATCTTCAAGAGGGGTGGTAGGTTTCCTACACAACACCTCCCCCTTGAGATTAATTCCGGAGGAATTAATATCTTTTCCTTTTGGGATCTGGACTTAAACGTTCCACCCTCGTTCTTTTTCTTTTGCTTGTCCTTCTTTGGACAACTGTTTCAGGCAATGGTGGAGTTGGTATATCAAATAAATCATATAATACCTCCATTGGTTCTTCCTTTTCTTTACTTATTTCTTCAATGTTTCTTCTCCTTAATTGGTTCAAATGTCTTTTGTGCGTCCATTTTTTACTTCTTATCATGTACAACATTTTACCAATTCTTTGCGTTACCACTCCATCTTGCCAAAATTCCTTCCCATTTTTGTAATTTTTAAAAAAAACTTTATCTCCCGGCCTGAAATATTTCATATTTTCCTGATGCGTTTTGTTCTGGTAACTCTTTTTTCTTTCCGGCAGCAGCCTATTGAACACAGATCTAATTTTTCTAGCAAACATCAGTTCAGCTGGAGACATCCCTGATATTGCGTTTGGATTTGGTGTTATTCTGTATATACTTAAAAACTGCTGTATATTACCATCATCTGTATTAGTACCATTTGTTTTTTAAGGGCTCTCTTGAACGTATCAACAAACCGTTCAGCCTGTCCATTTGACCTAGGATGGTACGGTGAAGTCGTGATGTGGTCAATTCCCAGAGTCTTACAAAACGTCTTAAATTCACTTCCTGTGAATTGAGTTCCATTGTCGGTGACAATTTTTTCTGGTACTCCAAACCGTGCAAACAGTTCTGTAAGAAAATCTTTTGTTACAGAAGCAGTTGGTCTTTTGCACTTAAAAACCTCAGGCCACTTGGAATAGCTATCCACAACTATCAAGTAAAAATTACCATTCATGGGTCCAGCATAATCTATGTGGAGTCTGGTCCATGGAACATCTGTTTTTGGCCATGGTGTGTATTTTACTGGCGGTGCTTTCACTGCCATTTGACACCCTCTACAAGTTTTAACTACCTGTTCAATGTCTTTGTCCATATTTGGCCAATAAACGTAACTCCTCATCAGGGCTTTCATACGTCCAATACCAGGATGCCCCTGATGAAATTCCTTCAACATCCGCTTTTGTAGTACAACCAGTATCACGACCCTTCCAGCATATAACAGCACTTCATCACATATTGAATATGCTGGTGAAGAAGTTTTATACTTTTCTGAAGTTACAACTTCTTTCATTTTTTTAATAAAAATGTCATTTTCTGATTTTAATTTTATTTCATCTAATGTCACCGGTAATTCTTTTACTGTGTTATGCATTACTTCCACCAATTCATTTTCTGCTTGTAACGACGCTATCACCGTATCTTCTAGCGGTTCCGAAGACGTTGGGATCAGCCTAGATAAACCATCAGCATGGCTTAAATTTTTCGATGATAAAAATTCCATTTTGAAATTGTAATTCAACAAAATGGTTCCCCATCGTTGCAAACGGTTTGCCGTATGAGTAGGTATACCCTTCTTCGAACCATAGATTGAAAGCAGCGGGCGATGGTCGGTCTGCAATATAAACCTTCTTCCATGTATATACTTATGGAATTTTTTACAAGCATAGATGATAGCTAAGCTTTCTTTCTCAATTTGAGAGTACTTCTTTTCTGCGGGTAATAATGTCCTTGATGCATGTGCCACTGGCTTCAGATTGTGCCGTCTCTGAATTTATGCAAAATTACCGCACATATTCCGTACTCGCTTGTGTCCGATGCCACTATAATTTCCTGTTTAGGGTCATAATGTGTTAGTGATAATTCCGACGTCAAAATATTCTTTATTTTGTCAAACGCCTTCTGACACACTTCTGACCATTCCCACTTTGCTCCTTTTTTTTTAAGCAATTTATTTAATGGAGCCGTAAGGCTGCACAAATTAGGAATATATATCCCATAATAGTTAGCAAGTCCTAAGAACGCTTGTAGCGTTACTACATTTTTGGGAGATGGCATGCTTTTGATCGCTTCTGCCCTCGCCGGATCTGGTCTTCTTCCATCAGAGTCTATTATCTGCCCCAAAAACTTAATTTCACTCATAAAAAATTCACATTTTTCAGCTGCAAGTTTGAATCCATATTCTTCAATTTTTTCAAAAACCTTATTAATATGTTCCAAATGTTCATTTCGATCTTTACTTTTTATCAAAATATCATCAAGATATGCAATGGCAAAGTCCAACCCTGCCAGCACAGTGTCCATAATTTGCTGAAAAATACTAGGGGATACTTTCAAACCAAAAGGCAAACGGTTAAATTTGTATAAACCCTTGTGTGTATTGATAGTCAACAATTTAGAACATTCTTCGTCCACTTTCACTTGGAGGTAGGCATCCGATAAATCCAATTTAGAGAATATTTTTCCTCCACTTAAACTTGCAAAAATGTCTTCTGGTGAAGGCAAAGGATATGTGTGGTCTTTTAAGCAATCATTTAGACCCGTAGAGAAATCGGCACACATCCGAATTTTATTATTCTTTTTCTTAACATATACAACAGGGCAGGCCCACTCTGAAAATTCAATGCGTGAAATAACTCCTAAATTTTCAAGCCGTTCCAATTCTTTGTTAATCTGTTCCAAAACACCAAATGGCACATTTCTTTTTCGCTTGAAAATAGGTTTTACATTTTCCTTCACTTCAAATTTTGCCTTCGTCTTTTTGCAACATCCAAGACCTTCTGAAAATACTTGTGGAAATTTTATTTTCAGATCTTTCAACAAATTTTCTGTAACCCGATTTTTACATCGAGAAGAAACATTAATTCTATTGCAAAAAGAATTTATAGGGAGTTCCCATAAATTAAACAGTATAATCCAATCTGTTCCAAACAAATTTGAAGCATTTTGTAGCACATACACTTTAGACTTTAGTGTCTTACCAACAAATGAAATATTACAAGAAAATTCACCTTGAAAATGCAATTTTCTTCCAGAAATCCCGTGAGCCACTTTTTCAGTCTTTTTAAGCAAAGGTCTGCCTATTTTAATCCATGTTGCTGTATTAATAATGGAAATATCACTTCCAGTATCTAGCTGTAGTTTAACATTTTTTCCATTAATTTTTACCTGTACGAATTTTCTTTTCTGCCCCTCCTCAATCTCCTGACGTGACAATACAATATTCACATCTTTTTTCGACTTAAATTTTTTTCTTTTGCTTTTACAATGAGTACTTATATGGCCTTTATTGCCACACGAATAGCAATTTTTGTCGCAAAAAAAACATTCACTTTTAAAATGACCACCACCGCATCCAAAGCACGTTGGTTTTTTAACGTTTTTATTAACTATTCCCTTTTTTGGTCGAATAGCATGGACACGGGATACGTCTTTTCCTTCAATTTGGGTATTGTCATGTTTTAAGTTTTCGATTCTTTGACACTCTTCCGTAACCTTCTGCAAAGTAATCTCAGAATTTTGTTCGAGTTTTGCCAATATTCAGGACCTTATGTCCTTATCTTTGCTAGAAGTCAAGCCTTGAACGAATATCAAACATTTAAATCGATCAATTGAAAGATCATGTAACATAAAACGTTCACACATTCTGTTAACATTTCCAGCATACGTAACAACATCCTCATCATCACGCTTTACCATATTCAAACACGAGAAACGAGTATGAAACAAACTAACTCGCTCGCCAAAAATACTAGATAAAGTATTAACAGTTTCTTCAAAAGAAATGTCACTAGTTTTTCTTGGAAGGACAAAATTCGTATACTTATTATTTTCATCTGTACCCAACTTTTGTAAAAGTAAACTCACTTTTTGTTCATCAGTCCAACCTTCACATTTTTTTTCAAATATTGTTTCAAATCTTCTGAAATACGCAGGAAATGTTATTCCCTCCTCTGGGTTAAATTTGAACTCAGTAATAGAATTAGCAATACCTTCGGCCGTGAATGACGAATTTACTGGATTCTTAAGTAAAATTGCTTCATATAAAGCCTTTGTGTCATTTCGCTGCTGAACTTGTAAATCCAATAGTTGTTCCCAAAACAATTTTTGTTGCTCTTGTTGCTGAATTTGACTTTGCACTAGAGTTTTCGTTAATGCAATCAAATCTTCCATTATGCGTAATAGATTACACAAAACACTTTTCGAAAACAGTCAAAAAAGGGAAAAACACGTATATATCCAACAATAAGCACAAGTCTTACTTCTTTTTGGCACGTTGAAATCCTATTTCTTTGTGAAGAACAAAGTTCGACGTATTTTGTTTTTTTTTTTCTTTCAGTGCGAGAAAAAAAATTATATAGTCCACCTAGAGTTGAAAAATTCTCCACTCAGCATGATGAACGAATCTCTCGTTGCCACTGTTATGATGTTGATTTGGGTTAATAAAGACAAACGCCAAATAACACGTAACAAATAAAAGGGGTTTATTCGGTTGGTAAGTAGGTACAGAAATCGCCTGAGTAGTCTATAACTAGCCCAGCCAAAAACTTCTCCGACTCTGTCTGTCTTTTGACATGCCACTATTTAACGTCTTTGTTTGTAGACAAGTTCATCTTCAAGAGGGGTGGTTTATATGCTGTCCTCCACATAACTGCATATAATTTTTCTTTTTTATTTTGTAACTTCTGTTGTCTTGGAACAAAAAATGTACTTGTCGGATACTCTTCTCCTCAATCTGAATATTGTCTTTTTTTATGTTTATAAGTTTCTGACAATCTTCCATTATTTTTTTATTGCCTTTTTTTATTTTTTGCATTCTGTGATCTAATTTTTTTTGGGAATTTGTGGTGCCGTTATGGCCCTGCCCTGCACAAAAAATTAAAAACTTGAACATGTTGCTTGACAATTTATTTAATTTAAATGCCTCAAACTGTGTTAGCCATACCTGCAAATCATCATCCTCGTTTTACGATATTTAGACACTTGTACCATGTATGAAACAAACATCTCTTTCATCGAAAATTTTCAACAAAATTTCTACTGTTTTGCTGAATGTAATTTCTTCTGGCTTCTTTAGGAGGATTAAATTCACATATTTTGTATTTTCTTTTGTTCCCAACTTTTGCAACAATAGAGTGATTTTTTCCTTGTCGGACCATTGTTTGCATCTTTTTGTAAATATTGTTTCAAAATCTGATAAAATAAGCCAGAAATGTTGAACCACTGTCAAGGTTGTATTTAAATTCAGAGAACCATTTGAAATTCCTTCAGTAAAAAAAACTTAGATCCTAAGACTTTTGTTGTCCTCGATAATCACATTCCCAAAAGTGACTTTATTGTTTTTTAACTGTTGTTTGAATAACTTTTCAAACCTTTCTTGTTGCTGAATAAATTGTTGTTGTTGCTGCTGGAATTGTTGCTGTAAAGTGACTTGTAGCACCTTAGTTAATTCTGCAATTTGTTCCATTCTGCCAATGTATCCACAAGAAAAAATTTGGACCAATTTATGTGAGACAATAAAATTTTCTAAGTCCAAACTTTCAACAAGGTTGCATGTTTTTTTATTTTCTAGTGTTCCTTGTTAATAAGCGTTAAAACAAAAATGAGGGAAAAATTACTTTCTGTAAGCGTTGAACATGTCTTTCTAATGTTCTTCGTTAGTAAGTGTTGTCAACTGTATATATTTTCTTTTGTTTTAACTTGTGAGGTTGTTTCGAATCTCATCGCCAACTGATATGTCCCAGAAAGGGATATATTTGTTCGAAGTATCAAAGTGGTTGTTGACTACTGTAACTGGGCAGGACAATCTAGCAGGTAACCATAATGGACTGGTCCTTGTCATAGTGGTAAGCAATAGGCGTAGGCAATAGCCAATCATATTACTGTAAGGGGGAACCCAGGTGTATGCATATTCATTACATCAATAATATTAGTTAATCTGATATGAAGCATTAGATGTCTCAATTTGTCTTTGGATATTTTATGTTTCCAAAAATGATAAACTCTATAAATGTACTTTGAAATAACTTTGATGGATACAGAGATGTGATAATGCTTTCTACTGAAATAGCTGTCAGTAGTCATTTTATATAGTTGATTGGCTTCTGTTCTGCTAATATCATTTCTTTTTAATGGCAAAAGGTTCTCATTTTAGACTTTAGCAAAAGTTCTTTTTAATGTAACTACCCAATTTCTCTGAAAAACAAAAAAATCAATACATAGTTGTCTAACCTTGTTTGTATATATGCCTAAAAAATATACTTTTGGATTCCAGGTATTTCCTATCTTAAAATATCTCTTATAGTTGTTTATATTGAATATAATATTGTACTGAAGTTATTGTAAGGGGCTCATAAACCTCAATCTTGAGATTTCCACTTCATGATTGCAAAATTAAATCTTTTCAAGAGAATTAACATTGATTTGTATGTGCATTTTAGTGTTTTCTCGTTTTGAAAAATCTTTTTAAAAAATATTGTTTACTGTACAAAAATTATGAATGATCAAAAACCTTCAACTATACCCATTTTCTTACTTTGCACCAAGGATTGAAAAATCATTTCAGTTTTACTGAGTTTATCTTTTTTCAAGGTTTGGGATGTTTGGAATAAAGAAAGAAATTCCTGGAAATGAAATAATGAATGACATAAGTGTGTTTCTTGCAGTACTGAGGTAGGTGGTTCCATTTTTTTTTCTTTCTGTGTATGTGTATATATGTCTATCATGATGCATAATTATAACATTATGCTCATTTTCAGTTCTTTGTGTCAGCCACTGTACTAGTGATCAATAATCATACTTATTTTTCAGTGCAGTTGTGTACACCCAAGTAAAGAGTGACATCAGTATGTCCCAAGTCATTCAACGTGTTGAAGATCCAGACTATGAAACAGGAATTGTAAGTAATTTTGCATCTTTGTAAATCTTACACACACACACACACACACACATTATATCCATGTATCAGAAACTGCCATTTCTTTACACAAACCAAAACACAGCAGCCCTTCTACAGGAACACATAAAATATTAGACATATCCCAGACCACTCGTTAGCCCCTAGTAGACAATCAACAGCAAACACACTCAACTTTAAAAAAACAATTTTTTCTAAGCTCACTAACCTGGACACCTGGATGATCTATAGTATCCCAAATAAGATATGATACAAAATTTAGCTTTTTATAATTTTAAAATTTTATTCTTGCAAATCCAAACTTGACCCATTGAATCCATTTTATAAATTTTAAATAAGTTTTTTTTACTTTGTCAATGCATTCAATCTTAAATAAAGGATCAGAAAATTGCCCTAGCCCCCTTTCCGTGATAAAGACACCTTGAAAAAGGACCTGAAATCCTTCAGATTTCTAATACAGTTAAAAGCCCAATAAATTTTTGACAATGATCAACACCTTCCATAAACATAAATTAAAATCAAGGATACTACCTGGTAACCTTGTGGCAATAGACATTACTATTGATTGACATTTAAACTAGCATGTTTTGTGACATAAAGAAAACAATAACACATAAATATTTTGACAATATTACTCAAGGTGAACATATATATAAAGACAGCTGAACACATAGAGATGACCTAATCATAACACAGGCTGACAAAGGGGACTGTCTGCAACAGTGATCTGAGGAATCGAAAAATACATTAAAAAGGCCAACAAACAGCTATTGACAAAATAAACCTATAAAAATTTTCCTACAGATCCCCTTCCCTAATACCAAAAGGAATTAACTAGTAAAAATTTGGCATAAAAATTATCAAAACAAATAATCGACAATCATAACATGCACAAGTATTACACCCACAAACATTACACCAGTCTCATTTCTATCTCCTTCCTAAAATACACAAAAGCAACAACCCAGGAAGGCCAGTCATTTCATCATTCAACTGCCTCACAGGCAAAAATTTCCAAATACATAGACCATTACATACAACTGCTAGCTAAGGAAGTAAAATCCTACATCAGAGACACAACAGATCTACTGAACAAAATTAATCACATACAAACAGTTCCAGAGAATGCTATTCTAGTGACTATGGATGTTAGGTCTCTCTATTCAAACATTAAACACATCGAAGGGCTAACTTCCCTTCAGGAAGCACTTTTACTAAAAGAAAAATAGATATCCCCAACAGAAGTTAACATAAAACTCATGGATATATGTCCTTACATTGAATACTTTCAACGTCAATGGAGCACACTACCTTTAAATAAGAGGTTGTTCCTTTGGCACCATTTTATCATATGCTACAATATTCATGGGAAAATTTGAGGAGAACCCATATCTATCCTGTCATTGGTAGCGACTGCGTATTCTATGCAAGATATATTGATGATATATTCTTTGTATACACAGGTAGTGATGACAAATTTACCCAATTCATTATGACTCTAAAACACAGTGCACGACTCAATTAAGTTTGACTATGAAAAATTCACAACATCAGTAACATTTTTAGACACCTGCATTTACATAGATGAAAACAGGAAACTATAAATTATACACACTAAAATCACCTACACCCACAACTATCTACACTTTAAGTCTTCCCACCCTAAACACCTCAAAGAAGAAGCTTCCCTATTCACAAGCACTTAGACTCAGAAGGATATGTTCAACAATGAAGTATTAAATAAACACATTGAAAATCTGGAGCATCAATTCACAACACATTTATATTTTAAACAACACCTAATCAGGGAACAAATAAATAAAAACAATTTCCAAAAAAAAATTAATGTACAAGATTAAAAATAAATCTAGTCAAATTCCCTAGTAACCACTTTCAACCCCATCTGCCTCCACTATCCCAAATAATCAAACATCACTGGGAAATACTACATCTCAAACCAGACCTAAAAAAAAATTGTTTAAGGAACTCAACCTTCTTGCATATTGTAGACCTAAGAACCTAAAAAAAATCATAGGTAGTAACCACATTTCAGGGGACAAGGTAATCCGTAATAAACTAAGAACAAAAAACAACAGGATTTTCCCAACCATGTAACAACAAAAGAAGTTTATGCTGCAACCATATTAAACACACGAATTCATTCACTAGCTCAATCACTAAATTTACTTTCAAAATCTACCATGATTCTAACTGTAGAAGTCATAACATAATTTACCTCCTAGAATGCACACTATGCCAAAAACAATATGTATGAAAATCTGAATGGCCCTTTCACTACAGAATTAATAATTATAATAATCGAATTAAGTCGATCCCCATGAAAAATTATTACCTGTAGAACAACATTTCCGCCTGAAAAAACACGATTTCAAAACCCATGCCAAATTCACTATAATTGAGAGAATAGAAAAGTTCAGAGCAGATAACATTAGAAAGATTTTAGAGTTCCATGAAAATAAGTGGATACAACGTCTAAAAACATAATATCCAGCTGGGCTAAACCATAAATTTAACAATATAGATAGTACTAATATATAACTCAACAAATCAAAACCTACCCACATTTCTCACCCACACAAGACAGACATGCTTACGGAGGTTTTGAGGCCTCACACTTATACACACACCCACACAAATATACACACTTACACACATCATACTCACTCCCTCCCTAATGAGCCAAATGATAACAACACACAATACACACACATACACATATCATACTCACTCACTCCCTAAGAACCAAATAACACACACAAACACTTAACAGAGACACATCCCTCTCCAGGACCAATAAAACTGTCAAACTGACCAGAGAAATTCAGAAAGCATAGATCCATCCAGCTCTTATCTCAAATAACAACTTAAAAGAGACTGTTTGACCAACACAAGGAATGTTAAAAGATTCATGTTAAAAAAGATAAAAAAAAAAAAAAAAAACAAATGAAAACTACAGAATTCAGTTCATTTTCTTCATCAAGACATTCATTTCTGTAGTTTACTGCTACCAGCAAGCAGAAATATTTCTTCTCCTGATGATGGCCATTTTGGCCGAAACTAGTCGAGGAATCTAAATGAAATAATAAAAAAAAAACGAAAGAATATTAATCTACAACCCAGTGTGTCTGAAGATTTTAATTTTTAATATTTTTATTGTTCAAAATATATATATATATATATATATATATATATATATAGATATATATATAGATATAGAGACATCTTTTGTTGAATAATTTAAACATGTTCTGTCTAATTATGAATACTATATTTTTCAATAAGATCTTTTCATGTTTGTGGAAAATTTTTTTTTGTTTTGATTTGATATATATTTCTTTTTTTTTCCGAGCACTTTCAAAGAAATATGTCATCATCAGTTTTTTTTTTTTACAAATGGTAAATATTTATAATGTTTAAATTGTTTGAGTGAAAACTGTTGTGTTCATCTGAAATAAACAAATTTCTTACAAGGAAAGTAAATAAGGAATGCTTTGTCAGTGCATGACTGCTGAAACCGTTTAAGATGAGGTAATGAACTTATAGTATTGATAGTTTTGTTTAAAATAAGTAGTAAAAATTTATATTAGTGCAAAGATTTTTATACATCAAACTATCTAATGTACACATTTATAAAACATTTTGTTTTATTCATAATTAATTTTATTAAGGTTTGAAAATTTTAAATTTACACACACACACATATATATATATATATATATATATATATACACACATGTATACATAGATACATGCATGTATATATAGATTAACACATAAACTTAATGTATATATAAATACAAAATATTTTATATATATATATATATATATATATATATATATATATAGATAGATAATACATGCACATAAATATTGTATATATAAATAATAAAATAAAATGTATATATGCATATATAACAACTTTACAAATATATTTTTATATAGATACATTCACAAATATGTATATATAGTTACATGCATTATATATATATACATATTTCATAAGTATATATATATATATATACATATATACACAATGTATATATATATATATATATATAGATACATATATATATATTTATATATATATATATAGATACATGGATATACATATTTGTATATATAGATACATGGATATACATATTTGTATATATAGATACATGGACATACATATATGTATATATAGATACATGCACATATATATATGTGTATATATAGATACATACACATATGTTTATGTATATATACATATACATATTATTATATGTTTATGCCGGACACAATATATAATATATATGGACACATGCACATAATATGTGTATATATATACAAATATATTATATATATATGAATATATATATATATATATATATACATACACACAACATATATATATATATATATATATATATATATGTATGTATTTAAAATAGATAGGTTGATTAATAAAACGAGAAAACAAAAGGTACCAATGTCAGTACAAAAAACATTTATTAAATATTAATTATTAACTGCAAGACAGAAATGAAGTGCAGAGATTAATGTTATTAGTCAGGAATTTTGGGGCATGCCTGTGTCCTCATCAGTGGTGTGAGAAATAAACAGAAATGGGGAAAACTCACCAACAATGGTTCTTGTGTTTGGTGTGAATTCATTGTAGATAGTATTATTAGTAAAAATCCGATCGCTGCTTGATTCCTTGTGTGAGAAACTTTTTTGAATATGATTGGGGTGAACGCATTAGTCTCTTTTGTCTTTATCAGTGTGGAAGATAGGTGATTGGGATTTTGAACAAAGGGAAGAAAAATATGGTAAATGGGTTACAACTGATGAAGATGTCCCATATGTGGTCAGTGTTGATAGATTTAGCAAGATGAGAAAAGAGTGAAAACGCGAAAAAGTAATAAAATAAAAAGAAAGAGAAAAAAAAACAACTGCAAGAAAAAAATAAATATTTACAAAAA